TAAGAGTCCCTGGGTAGCACAAATGGTTAAGCACTTGACTACTAACTGAAAGGTTGGCAGTTTGAACTCACCCAGAGGCACTTCTGAAAGGTCACAGCCTTGAAAATCTTATGGAGCAGTTCTACTCTGCTTGCACGAGGTCATCATAAGTTGGAATCAACTCTATGGCAACTAGCAACAACAACAGCTTCAATAATAAGTAGAAGAATATCTTTACATTTATGATAGAAAATTATAGGAAAATAAAAATATTTTTGTCTGGAACACTGTACACTATTAGCAAAGTAAATCAAAGATACTATCAGACATGCAGGGTCTCAAAATTCTTATCTGCCATGCACCATTTCTTAAGAAGCTACTTGAGGATGTGCTCCATCAAAACTAGGGAGTGAATAACAACAACCACAACAAAAATGAAGACAAACAGCAGAGAGGTGAAGATAAAAGTTCCCAGGATAGTGGTGAAGGAAGTCTCTGGTAACACTTGCTTATAGGCCTAGAACACCTCCTGTCTTGGCTAAATTAGAAGAGAGGGAAGAAGGGATGTTTCCAAAGAAAACATAGAAACATAGATAAGTGAGTGTAGGGACTACACACATTGAGGAGAATACAACTGCTCTGTCTCAGAGCTGAGGATAACCTACTGGTACATGCACAGAACACTGAAGCATTATTAGCCCCAGTAATACTAAAGAGGTGAATAAGAAAAGAATTGCAATCATTGTACATGTATGGCTGGGCTGTGACAATATTTACATCATCATCATAAAAATGTGAAAATTTAACGAATAACTCAAAGATACTGAATTATCTCTGAAAATTGTTTACTCGCTCATGTGAGGGTAGATAGCACTCAGACCCTTGTACATGAACAAAAGTGAAAAACTGGATTTACAAATGAGAAGAAGAAGAAGGGAGAAAAAAACTGCAGAAGTTTTAACACTTTAGAGCAAACTGATTAGTAGCCAAGACATCAGTCTAAGGCAACTAGGGAAGTAAGAGATCATTTCATTTGTTTATAGATTTTCCAGAAAACCTGATGGTGTCCCTGGGGAGCAGATGTGCTGGTGGTCTGAGTGTAATGTCCTGGCTCCTCCCACCAGCACTTCTACCTTAGTTAGCAGGCCGGTGGGTCCTATGTTCTGCATTAGAATTGCTCAGTCTACACGTGTATAAGTACAAGCTGTGCTCTGACTTTGTGAGAGCTAGGTGGAGAGGATATTGTGTGTGATGTAAGAATAAGTTCTCATCTTAGAAAGCAGGGAATCAATATATGATTTTCAGAATTGAGAAATCAAGAAATAGCAGTGCAAACTATTATATTCATAGAGTCTTTGGGGGTGGACCTGGTGGTGCCACTAGGTAGCAGTCCTGGGAACTTCTGGACTGTGTGTCAGTGACGTGTTCCCTGGTTATGACCTTCGGTGGATCACTTCACCTCTTCAAGACCCAGTGTTCTCACTTGTAAAATGAGCATGTTATTGCTTACTTCATAGGGTTCTTGGGAGAATTGCATGCAGGACCACTACTTAGTATGGGGCTAAGCACATTGGTAAAGGCTTAACCTCCAGAGCTATTGCCCTTATTAATGTGACAATTCCTTGTGGATTGTTCTGCTGACTAAGGTCTGGATGAGGGGGTGTAAAGCAGTGTTAGAAATCAGCTAAGTACTTAAGGGATAGAATCAGGATCAATACAAAGCTGGTTCCTATGAAGTGGAAGTCAGACATACCTCTATTCTCCAAATTCTTCACCATTTCTTCCCCACATGGCACTCTTTATTTATCCTCTGGGTTAATACTTCATTGAAGTGGCCACATAGAACTCTCAGACTATGACTCATTTTTATGTGATTTATTAGGGAAGTAACAGGCTACAACTCAGGATCAATTTAGAATTAAAAGGAACAACTCAGGATCAGGATTAGGAAGCATATAGGTAAGGTCTAGAAGGCCCCCCTGAAGTGGAGAGCACATCCCTCCCTTCTTTGGTTAAGAACAACTTCCAAGCAGGACAGGTCTCGCAGCTACTCTCTACCATCAGATTTCTCCACTGCAAATTGGCCCAAAACCAAACTCACTGCCGTCAAGTGATTCCAACTCATAGTGACCCCTCCTTGGGTCTCCAAGGTGGTATTTCTATGGAAGCAGATTGCCCAATCTTCTGTCCAAGGAGTGGCTAGTCAATTTAAACCACCAGAATTCTAGTTAGAAAAAAAATGCCTTAGGCACTGTGCCACCAGAGCTCCATGGCTAATGTAGCAGCCTGCTCAGCTCTCTTAACTGTTTTCTGCCATCAGATCTCTCTGCTGCTAACAGCTCATAGCCAGTGTAGCTGCTCTGTTACTCATGAAGGCCCTCTCTCAGTTGTGCAGACCTTTCTCAGCAGTTCAGGCTGACCTCTACCATTAGATCTCTCCATTGCTAACTGGCCCAGCTCATAGCCAGTGTGATAGCCTGCTCAGCTGTGCAGGTCCTCTGCTATCAGGCCTCTCATCTGGGCTTCTTTCCTTCTTCAGTGTGACCTGTATTACAGCTCTTGTAGGATATTCCCCATGCAAGAACCTGGGTCCAAATCCCTCCACTTCAGCCACTTTTTGATTTTGAGGTTCCCTTCTTCCCTCTCAAAACTTCTGTAGGATTGGCTGCTTGTATAAGCAAACTCCTTGTCAATATTAAGTTGTGGTCATCCCAGTAACTACACAAACTAACCAACCACCTCAGAGGACTGCAAGCCATTCAGTTCTATTGGGTGGTTTTACATATTACCTAACCAGAAAGCTGGCAGTTCAAACCCACCAGCCACTCCTCGGAAGGAAGATAGGGCAATCTACTTCCGTAGTGATACTACCTCTGAAACCCAAGGAGGGGTTGCTATGAGCAGGATCCAACTCGACGGTGGTGAGTATGGTTTTATTTTATTATTTTTTTTCTTGACTAGTAAACTGACTAATCCCAGCCAGGTGAGTAAAATAGACCAATCCAGGGTAGATGGCAGCCCACGGCCAGAAAGGCCGTAATTAAGAGAAACTCATTGCACTGCAGGAGGCCCAAAATGAAAGGGCCATTTTCTACTAGACAGGCTGAGCCAACTTTTTCTCTGATGTGGGGAAACAGGACTGTCACCATGAGTGGTAGAAAAGGAGCAGGGTAAGGAGGGAAAAGACTGTGTAGTCACAGAATTTCTGAATGGTGAGGAAGTTAAGAAAGTTGAAAGATAGAACAGACTGTTCTAAACTTGGGGATAAATTTATAAATCATAGGGTAACCTCAAAGAAAAATGATAAACCTTCACATCACAATAAAAAAGAGGACAAG